TTCTTTCATTTCCCAGATTCTGGACTTTATCTATTGACCGGTTTTGATTTGTATTTTGATCTATTTTGAATTGCGTGACACTGAAAACCAGCAATTCAGAAAAAAAAAACATGTCATTGTACCTCATTAACACATTTTCAACACACAAAATTATATTTTTTTCAAAATCTAAGCCTCGAGCAAAAATCTCAATTTAAGTAAATTTGATCATGAGCCTTGATATAAAACGTATTCTTATAAAAAAGAAAGAGTGTAGCAGAACAGAGACATGTGAAGACCTTCAGAATAAATGCTACTTAGAACTGACCTGTTACACTAAGTTTCCTATGCACTTTTCAGCTTGACAAACGGCCTCATGATCATACTCCGCTGGTTTTAAAACACCTTGTAAACAAAGTGGAGTTCGAGAGGACTCTGCTGAGCTCAACCTCTGGAAATTCGTCACTAGAAAACCAAAATGATGATTGGAATCGCGTTGCAATTCCAAAGAAAAATAGAATACTCTCAGTCTGTAGAAGTTTAAGTTTGAATGACTATTTCCGTCCGAAATCTCTGAAATTGAATTTTGGACTGCCAAGGGATACTTTGTCAATTTTAGACCGTTCCCGGGTGCCTGGCTTATAAATTGCTGCCAAATTGTAATTTGCTTTATGCTGGAAGGTTTATTGTGGCTGATTTCGTTTACAAGAAATGTCTATAGATCTCTTAATTTATGTTCTGTATCGGAAGAGAGGACCTGAAATTTCTAATAAATAATGTCATGCATTTTCTCATATTGTGCTTGAACATCTTGCTTTCTTCCTTCCACGGGTGTCGTACTTTCTAGGTTAAATTTCGACAGAGCTTTGATTGGCATCTCACGAAGCCATTTATTCAAGAATAATTGTTGTGAGTCTAATGCACAGGCCTCGATCGTCAGCTCATTTCTTGTATGAATTTGATCGAGTGGTCTTTGTTTTTTTAAGCCCTCCAAATTTCGCGCGATGATTGGACAATGCATTATTTTGGTATTTAGTATGTGAATCAAAACATTCTGGACTGCTCTTTGGGAGCTCTGGATGGGATTAAGCTGATGGCTTAGATTTAGTCAAAAAAAAAAAAAAAAAAAAAAAACTGTTAGCCGAGAAACGACTGATGCCTGTGATCCGAGAACTGCGACATTGGATTGAAATTTTATTGTTAATTGAGATGACAGCCTTCCCATCCAGGCCTACTATGAACCGTGGCCCAAATAACTCGTAGAAGGCATATTCCTTTGGTCGACACTTGAAAAGTTAACTATAAGAGACGTCTTTATTTAAACAGAGCACTTAACGTCTACTGGGTTACGAAAACATTTACAAAGATAATAAATATTACTGGAAATATTATAAAAGATGCATTGCAGAGACACAGATAGAAGTGCACTTCTTCTAACGGCAGCAACACGACTTGTTTTCTACGTGGCGTGCTCTCGACGTCACAGAACTTCTTTACAGGTAATTATGTTTTAAAAGATTTTAAATTATTTTGAGTAAGAGGCGCAGGAGGACTTGAAATGTGGTGAGTAAAATAGGATAAGAAAACGGTCTTCAGTTTCTCTGGGAAGCTGAGCCACATAGAAAAAGCTGTCACTAGTTGAAGGATGCGTGCAGAATCCAAGGGAGATTATGCGTCTCAGCCTTTTTTTTCATGTGCTTTCAAATCGTTTGTTTCTTGACCGCGTCATGCTGACAGAATTTCAATTTCCAATTTCCAATTTTGTTATTGGTGATAGTTAGGACGAAGTATTATTTGGTGAACAGCCTGCATACTCTACTGTCCGTCTCTAAGTACAAGTCTACTATTGCAAGGCTTGTCGAGTCCAATAGCTATAGAATTTTACACTATAAGATTCTGTATTATCATGGGATCTGAAACGCTTCTTAACAGAAAGGGAATGAGAGTGATGGGTGTATGATCAGTTTACTCAATACGTCTAATTTTCACTCATAAGTACATCGTGTTAAGATAATGCGAATTCCGTGAACAGTGTACCCTCTGGAAAAGTAGGAGAGATTTCACTTTCTATTTGATACATTTTTGGTTCCAGAAAAGCAATCAACTTCAATCTAGATATTGGAATGTTTCGTCCTAACGGTAACAACTTTATGTTGAATACGAGGCAAGGTACAAGGGCCGCAGCTAGGTTCAGACAACCAGGATAACATCGTGAATTGACCACAAATGTCAAGATTTGCCTGGAAGGTATGAGAGACAAAGAGAGATATAAGTAAACTGAGGAGAATCTCGTGTTTACAAATGTTCGACAGCGACGTGGTGTACCTCATAAATCACCTGAGCATCATCCAAGGGAGTCTTGTGTAAATAAATAATAGCGACCCTTCTGTGTCTACAGCTTGGTGTTAGGGCCGCTCGGAGAATCAAAACGCTTTCACTGTATCGATGTGAGACGTAAGTTAACAACTTGAACAGACGCTACCATGCCCTGCTTGCTGGTAATTTTTTCCTCCAACTCTCCTGATAAAAAATGCTACAAACGCATGAGTTTTTATCATTTTAATTTCAAAGAAAGAAAGAAATATTCAAAACATTTGAAAGGAAAAGGTCTTAATTTCAAACGAAGCTAGAAATTTCTTCCGTCGAATCGACACTTAATCTGGTATCAAAATATCTGCGAGACTAATGCTCTTTGTACTTATGTTACCAATCAAAAATGTCATTTCAAATCGGGAGATAAATCAAAACAGTCCATCTAAACTACTCTATTAAGGTTATCATAGACTTTCGCGGGTGTCTTTAGCTAAAATTGCAAATGTGCAACATAATATGTAATGTAAAGCTGGAAAAAAAAGAAACGATCTTACAGACAACTAAAGAAATAAAAAAGCGACTATTTGACAATCAGAGCGTAAATCTAGCCGGTCGAAAAAAAAAGGAAAGCGAGACAAAAGATTAACGAGTCTTAGTCTAATCGATTATATGCACTTTTTAGAAACTTTATAACGAACCAAAACAAAACTATTGAGTTCCGTTCAGGATTTGGGGCAAGCAGCTTCAATACTTTAAAAGCTGGCGTTCATGATATGGGGAGCAGATTGGGAGCAGGAATGGCGCAGTGGCCGGTGTCATATGTGGGTTGAGTCTGTTGTTGGTTCTCGCCTTCGTCCGAGTGTTTTTCTCTGGGTTCTCCGGTTTTCTTCCCTCCGCAAAAACCAACATCTCTAAATTTCAATTCGACCAGGAGAAAGGACTCGCATGAAACCCTGCTACGGCTGTTGTGGTTTCCTCTCTAAATATCGACATTTATTATATTTTCTAACCTTATGGACTACGTTGAAGACTAATTAGATAAACAGGCGGCGTTATATTAGAACCTTATTCAATAGGCGGCGTTACATCCGTCTACAGTTAGTTTATAGAATCGTGAACGATTATAACTGCCCCAGGCCACTACAAGGCTATTTTGTATTACGATCCGACCTCCGTGGTAAGGTCTTGAGAGATAACAGAGAACTTCATCTCCGTAGAACTAAAACTGCTATGGGCCAGTCCACATTCATGTACGCTGCTGCCAAGGAATGGAATGACCTCCCAAACGACCATAGAAACTGCAGTAGTCTGAAAATTTTTAAAAATAAACTTTTTAAATTTTTTAGTGATTTAGACAAGACTGATTTTTTTTAGTATTGTTTGATTGATTATTGCTTTTTACCATGTAATTTATAGATACTGATCATGGGTTTATACCAACGTCTTCCTCCCGGACTTCGCTGATCCGTCTTTCAGTTTTAATTAAAGCTTTTATTATTATTATTATTATTATTATTATTATTATAAATCAAAGCTATTAATAATGACAAAGAAAGATAGTTGGAATCAGTTGGGATTCTTAACAGTTTATGTTCTATTTGCAATATTTGGTTATTTAGTTAGTGTCCCCAATTAGCACAACAGTGCTAAATACAATCGACACAAATAAAGTTATTATTATTATTATTATTATTAT